GCGTTCTTTTCTTAGTCTCGACCTATGTTTCAAAAATACTAAGGCAAAAACGTTAGTCAAAGCCATCTAGGAACACTAAACAATAATTAATGTGAAACTTCTGGCGTGACTCCTTTTTGCAATACTGAACTACTAAGGTGAAGGGTAGAAACAGAAAACAGAGAAGAAGGGGATTTCATTTTTTGGAGGTTATATATATATATTTTTTTACTAATCTAATACTAAAAGGTTTGTTAAAAAGTCATCTAGGAACACTGAACCATAATAAATCCCCAACTGCAAGCGCGACTCCGTTTTGCAATACTGAACAATGGTGAAGAGTAGAAACATAAAACAGAGAAGAAGGGGGTTTCATTTTTTGGGGTTATATTATTTTCTTAAAAACTAATACTAAAAGGTTTGTTAAAAAGTCATCTAGGAACACTGAACCATAATAAATCCTCAACTGCAAGCGCGACTCCTTTTTGCAATACTGAACAATGGTGAAGAGTAGAAACATAAAACAGGGAGGAAGGGGTTTTCTTTTCTTAGTCTCGACCTATGTTTCAAAAATACTAAGGCAAAAACGTTAGTCAAAGCCATCTAGGAACACTAAACAATAATTAATGTCAGGCGCGACTCTGTTTTAAATACTGAACAAAGATGAAGAGTTTAAAAAAATGAAAAATAGAAAGGACGGTGGAATCTTTAATTGTTTGCTTATTGTTTTACTAATACAAAACGGTTTGTTAAAGCCATACAGGAACACTGAACTATAAGTATTAATGACCAACTGCTGACGTGACTCTTTCTTACAATACTGAACGATTATGAAAAGAGGAAAAATAAAATAGAAAGGAGTTTTTCTTTGTTCATTTATTATTTTTGTTTATTGTTGACTAATACCGAATGGTTTATTAAAGCCATCTGCACCGAAGTGTCCTCGTGCCAAATGGGAAAAGAATGTTGCCTTAAACTTCAATAGGGCATTAAAATAACACAGCGGGTCTCTGAAGTAACAGGCCTCGTCTCAGGGTGACAGTAAATCAAGCACCGAAACTGTGTCCTTATCGACATAATTTTTCGTTCCTCTACTTCTTTTCTCTAACTTAGTTAA